CTCACTAAGAACCCAGGTTGGTTCCAAACCCATGGCAACCCTCCTGCTTTAGCCTCCCAAATGCTGAGATTATGGGCATACATGGCTACCCACTGGTCTTTTCCTACTTACATCTGCTTTCCCTAAACAGAACCTAGAATTAGTGCTGCTTTGGAAATCAGGCAACTATCAAGGCTTTCTCATGGTAAATGGCATGGAGCCACGCATGTTCTATCTGGGCGGATGCTCAGATTGTAAGATTGCATTTTCTTTTGCCCAAGGAAATAAGGAAAATAAGGTTTCTATGAAGGAATTATTTCATTTACTCCTGAAGACCCCCAAATCAGAAATTCAAGCCAGATTTGTTTGTGCATACCTGTAATTCCATCTCATAAAAGTTAGATGCAGAAGGATCACTGTGAGTTTGAGGCCAGCATGGTCTACATAATGAGTTCTAGTCCACCCGTAGCTACACAGCCAGACTTTGTCTCAAGCCAGAAATGCTGTCATCTGATACTAGAATAAAACCCCAAGTTTTAAGTTTTCTTTAATTGGTTACTTCTCTACCCAAGAGCATTTCAGGGAAGGTTCAGATTTATGTATGCAAACAACTGTTCATTTCTGTCCTGCAGGTGACAACCAGGACATGTCTCTTCTGCATTATGGAATAGCTCTCACACTTACCCCAACTTTAATAATAATAATAATAATAATAATAATAATAATAATAATAATAATAAAAACACTCAGGGAAATCCATCGGCTCTCCATGAATCTCATGAGCAAGAGTCTAATCCACCTTTAGCCTTGCTTTGGGAACCCATGCTTGTTTGTCCAGGCTTAGTTGAGAATAGGGGAAGAGTCTAGTTAGTCACCTCTTCTAATCTCCCAAATTGAAGGAAAGGACAAAAAGCCACAGAACACTTGTTTAACATGCACATGGTCCCTGGTTCCATTCCGACACCAAAACTAAAACTGTAGTGGACATCTGGGGGAATATAGTTTTCCAACATCATACCTGAGTGTGTCTTCTCAACAAACTTAATTCATGAACAGCATAACTTCTATAGGTGAAGAAAAACAAAGACTGCAAATTTTTTTCCAGGTCTGCTGCTAACTACAGATCCAGGCTGTCCCTCTGTCTCCATCTCCTAAACAGTGGGATTAGGTATGTGGCACAACACCAGCATGGAAAATAAGTAAATAAATAAATGCATTCAGTAATTATGATGTGAAATACACAATTTGCTGTTTTTCTCCATCTCTTGGCTTACAACTTTGAAAATTCTTGGCAGTAATAAATGTCCTTTGACACAGAAGTTAATTGACTGATCCTAGATATCTCCCCAGCTTCAGTACAGGACACACCAAGGTGAGATTTGAGGGTTAGGTCATTTAGCTTATCCCCCAATCAATCTCTGGGAAGAGGAGGAACTGAAGACTGAGTTGACCATCTGATGCCAATGAGTTTATCGAGTATGTCTATGCAGTAAGACTTCCATAAAAACTCAAAGGGACAGAGTCTGTGGAGAATTTAGACATGAGGAGGACCACGGAGGTTAGCCTGCCCTCCACTCTTGTACCCGACCCTACACAGCTCTTCATCCAGTTGTCCACCCATATCCTATGCGAGGCCACTTACAACATGCCAGTATGATTCAGCAGTGGTATACAGAAAGTTATTTCCTTGAATTTTATGACTCAGTCTAGCAAATTCATTCAAACCCAGGGAGGAGATACAAGGACCCCACTTTACATCTGGTGGGCCAGAAGCACCAGTTAAACAACCCACTATGACTTAGACAGTACTACAGGACTGAGGCCTCACCCTCAGTATCTGACACCATCAGTGCAAGTCACTTTGCTTATCCACACAGTCACAGATGTGTTCTGTGTGTAACAGATGGTAGGAGAAACTGAGCACATCCACTCAGCAATGGTTATCTCAATGGGTCTATCCATCCTGATGGCCCCACTCATCCTTTCATAGAATAAGGAGACCATTATGAGTTCTTCTGCCAGATCTACCCACCAGGGCTACATGGAAACTGCTGGCGAGTTCTGCCAGAAGCACTGGTGTCACTGATTTCTTTTGGAATCAAGCCAAGTCAGGTTGATTGTCCCCATGGTTCCAGGATGGAAGGTAAAGCAGGAGGAAGAAGAAAAGAGGAGTCAAATGTCACCACTGCAATCTGTCAACATCAGATTCAAACCCAGAGTCTACCGCTGCTACTGTGGAGCTTTGATGTATGGCCACTAAGGCTTAACTTTGTCCCTTTCAGTAACTGGATGGCTCTCCTGCCACCCAAATGGACTGCCTGCAAGTTCCAACAGCTGAAAGAAATGCCACTTGGAATACACTGCCAAGGGCAGCTGATGTGGCCTTGGGAGCTGGCTGGGCTTTTGTGGCTCTCCTCCAGCTGCCCAGCATCGAGCAGATGTCGCCTAAACCAGACCTCTGTAGAAGCTACTGCCATTACAAGGGACAGAGGAAAGAGACATGAAAGAGCCTCTGGCCTGGAGAGATGGTACATTCTTTGTGTGTTTAGCAGGAACTGGGTTCTGAGAGTTCATAGACAATGCTGGCTTCCCATCCCCCAAAGTTGAGGCAATCAAAAAGTAAATGTGACTCTCATGGTGGATGCTGCCTAGATCAGTAAGGGGGTGTTTCCTGGGAACCTTTCTCGTACTCGGACCCTGCATCCTTTGCTGTGGGCAGGAGGCCAAGGGAAATGTTCATAATTAGTCTCTAGATAGTTGTTCTAAACTTCAGTTAGGTGGGATGAGCCTTCAGAGCTCCCACCCCCAGAGATTCTGATTCCTTAGGCCTGGTGTCACTATGTCTACACACTTAAAAACCACATCCTGGTGAATCAGATGCAGGAGGCCCTGAGATGAGACCACCACTGAGAAACATTGACCTGTGATCTGTGTCCTGTCCTACAGCAGCAGTCTGAAACCCAAGTACGGTGACAGCAAACACATAGGTCTATGTAACATCCTAGTGTCAATGATGTTCATCAAGAGGTTACACTGAGTCGCGTCCTGGGAACCCATGAAAGAACTTATGAGTAGAGCCTGGGTTTTGGTGGACAAGTCTTGTCTACAGGGATCCCTCAGCAAATGTCTTCAGCAGGTTTGGGATTCACCATGTCCCATCGTGCACACAGTAGACACATGCTGAGAGAGAGAGAGAAAGAGATAGGGAGAGAGAGAGAGAGGGAGAGAGAGAGAGAGAGAGAGAGAGAGAGAGAGAGAGAGAGAGAGAGAGAGAGAGAGAGAGAGAGAGAGAGAGAGAGGAGCTAGGATACCCCTGCAAACAGGAAGGACATACACTCTCCAGAACACTCATAACCTGGCATCCTCAGATCACACTGAGTTTGTACTGTCACTCTGCTGAATTCATGTGGTTTCCTGCACCTCATAATTTAACATTTGTTAGAGAGAGAAAATGATGTTATGAAACCCAAATAATGTGCTGATCTGAGGCAGACAGCTGCTAACAAGAATGACATGTGATCATCAAACTGCTGTGCACAGCTCAGCTTCAGGAAAAAGATGTTTAGTAAGAAAGAAAACCAATACACTCTTCTCAATGGAAAACAGAGTTTGGAACTCCATGAAGTGAAGGCACTCACTCAGCCAGTTACACAGTAATAGTAATCTAGGACCTCAATAGGAAAAAAAGAGAAAGGAAGGAAGGAAGGACAAGAATTTAAAAGAACCTAGTCTTGTTTATGTTAATATTAAATTCATGAAACACTCCTTTATTAATGTCTCAAGGGAATTAAATTATTAACCACAGAATCTGAAAGTCCTGTTTTACCAGAAGACAATGGAGATAAAAGTCCCCCAGGGACTCAACCTTTTCTCCCACACTGGCTGGTCAATGACCTCCCTAACTCCCTGAAAAAAAAAAAAAAAACGATAGTTTGCCCCAGGCACACAGTAAATTCCACTGAAGAGAACTGAAGACTACTGATTATTTAATGGTACTAGAAGGCATTGAGCTTTCAATTTGCAGGAGGCCAGGGAGATCATCTGGGCACATATACTTTTACAGCCAGGCATAGCAAGTGGTAAGTTCTCCCAATGCCGTTCACCACAGTGGGGATGAGCAGGGCTTGCATGTGAGGATTGTTCCCAGGAAATACCATGAATAAAGCCAAGAAGACACCCTGAGAAAGCTGTACTATTTTAGTATATAATTTGGATTAAAAAAAAACATGTAATTAAAGCTTGGAATGTTTGGACTGCAACTCTTTGACCAAGGTTGTCACTTAGGGGACCAAGACCACCAATAAGCAGAAGGACTAAGGTCTGTCAGGAGGGCTACTGTGTTTCACAAAAGCTTATTACAAATTTTAGAGAGAATTGGAAGAGAGAACCAAAGCATTGCCAACATGAAGAACAGACCAGAGTTTATGAAGACAATACTATCCTGATCATACATTACATACTTTATATTCCTTTCAAATGACCACATTGTGCCCCAATTTTAAAAGTTACTCAATAGATATTTATTGACTGCAATCTGGAAACTCCCAACAACTCCACCTTGCCTGCTCCAATACTGATTACAGAATAAGAGGATCACCAGAAAAGTAGACCTCCTATGTATCGCCAGACAGCTAGACCTCCTCTGTCTGACTCATGAATCCCTTATGCATCCAGCCGAAATGGAACCCATGGACTATACAGATCATTTGTTGTGTGGACATTTGTGTTTTTGCTGTTGCTATTGTTTTTTATTGCTTTGATTCATTTTCCCTAATCACAAATGCCTTCCCCTGAGGTGTTACTATCCTGCAAAGTTCAGAAATGAGCATATTAAGTTTATCTAGCTACTTTCTTGGCTCTTTGTCATGAAAAAAAAAAACATTTTCAAGAATGTCTTTTTGCTTGAGCCATGGGGGAAAATGGCTATGCATCATATTCACTAAAATATCTCAGTACACCAAATAAAGACCACCACATGAAATTCAAAACAAGCAAATGCCAACTCCAATGGAACGACTTACCCCAAACTATCCCTGTTTCATGCAGGCTGGAGTCCGCTCTGTTCTGCTCAGGGTCTATAGGAACCTTACTTCTGAAGCTTCAACACAGATGCTTTCATGCTGCTCCAGTATGCTGCAGTTAACAAAACCAAACACCAAGTCAGAGTGGAAAATGCCACTTCAAGCAGTTAGTGAATATGAAGGGGAAATCCCTGGGCTTTCTCAGTGTCTGTCTTATAATGTCAAACAAGGATGTCAATCACTAAAAGAAACTATCACACAACTTATCTACATTGGTGCCCTAAAATACTGGAAAGAGAGATAAAAAAGAGTGAAAGGAAAGAAAGAAAGAGAAAGACATAAAGAAAAAAGACTGAAAGAATAGACAGACAGAAAGAAAGAAAAAGAAAAGAGAAAGAAAAAAGGAAAGAAAGAAAAGCAAGACATATAGGCGAGGATAGTATTTTCCAGTAAGCATGACAAATTTCAAGTTTAACCACTAGATGAAGGGAAGGAATGCTTCTTTTGGTTTAAATAACTAAATATAATAACTTCTAGGTGTCAAGGGTAGAAAGTAAAGGGAGATTTGTTTCAAAAAAATTTCTCATCCTGCCCCTTAAAGTCTAAGACTGCACATTATAATGTTGTACACCTGTAATGCCAGCATTGAGGAGGGAGAGGCAAGAGGATCACAAGTTAGAGACCAGATTCTGTATTTAAAAATAATATGTGGTTGTTGAGAAAATATTATTATTATTAAAACATAGTGCTTTAAGGACAGAAAAAAATGATAGCATGAAAGAGAAAGGAAATTTCCATTTTGCTCTACAAATCGGTAGTTGCTGGGTTTCCCCCACCTGCCTCTTGATAAACTTGATAAATACCATCTCTTCCCAGGGTGGAAAGCGTCACGTAGTGTACACAGTAGACATGAAGTTAATGGTAAAGGTTTTCACCTGACTCCAAACAGCTGATGATGCCTACACTAGAACTACCTGACAAGCAGCCATTCTGGAAAGTTCTTTTCCTGCCATAGCTATATTTAAAGCTTTCTTGTGCCCAGTTATGGTTCCAGGTTTTTGTTTTGTTTTGTTTTTTTGGACAGTGGCCACTTGAGGGTTTGGAGGTCAACTTCAGATGAGTCTGCACCCCTGCTTTTTTTGTTTGTTTTGTTTGCTTTGTTCTCTATATAATTTGAAAGCCTGCTGGAGGGCTGTCACCCACTGGGGAGTATGATGGCTGCATCTTACTACAACTGTAATCACAGGTGTTAGAGGAGGATCCTGAAGACAGGCACTGTGTCCCTCCCTTCTGCTGTTAGACTTCCCCCCACCCTTTGCACTTACAAGGTTAGTGTGTTCAGCCAGCATATAGACAGGCATCACAGATGAAGTGATCTCCAAAGGAAATACACAAAGGCCAGGCATGGTGGTGGGTGTATGACTGCAGTCCTTACAGTCAAAAGATGACCACAAATCCAAGGCTAGTGTAGTCTACATTGCAAGTTCAGAGTAGCCAGGTCTACATAACAAGAGTCTGCCTCAAAACAGCAATAACAGCATCAGAAGAAGAAAAAAAAAAGGAAGCTCTCAATGATCCATTTTATCTGCCTGGAACTCGAATAAACATGGTCCCTAACACAGAATGGAGGCAACCTGGACCTAGGTCCCCAACCATCACATGAAAGGCTCCCTTAATATGTTTCAGCTCTCATGTTTTGGTCTTTGTGCCATAGCTCTCCACGGGCACAGTATGGATGAAATTAGATTCTTCCCCACCCTAACAGGTGGCTGTAATGTAAACAGATCTCTCTTCCATTACCAGTTTCCTATTTAGTATATAAGGAAGCTGAGGCAATGCCTGGTCACCACATGAAATGCTAAACTCTACTAATCTCAGAAGGTTCTGGAATGATCAACAAAGCTGTCATCCCATGACCCACTTATAAGAGAGCTAACCTTTCATGTATCCCTAGGTCATTGGGATAACTAATATTTTTGCCTGCTTTCTTGAGACAGGGCCTCAAGTGTTCCTCGAGCTTACTATGTAGCTAAGGGTGACCTTGAACTTCTAATCCTCCTCCCTCTACCTTCCAGGTGCTGAGATTACAGATGTGCACCACCTAGTTTAATCTGTGCTGTGCTAGGGATCAAACCCGGGGTGTCTTGCATACTAAGCAATCACTCCAACAACCAAGCTACATCCGTGGGCCCATAGCGGACCCTTTGAAAGACTCTATAAGCAATTGCTTTACAGAACAGCCAACATTTTTGAAGAGGACTTTTGGGGGCGTGGTTAAATTCACACAGACAATTGCAACTGCTGAGAAGCAGAAAGTTCGGGGTTCTTGGTTAGTGTGCAGTTAAGTGAATAGAGTTTAGTACTATGCAATGCTCAGTCCTGGAAGTGCATCAGACAGGAAACAGAAATGTCCTTTTGCTTTCCTAGATGACATGGATACCCACAAAAAGTGGGGTCATATGGATGTCATTCATTTATTCATTTCATTTCATGAACTATAACTCATCCTCACTGGGATATATATTAGTGACATAGTGACAGAAATGAAGATAAGCCTGGAAGTTCAAAGAAAACTGTCTTGGAAAAGACAGAATGTGGAGAGGAAAGGAGGGCTTTGGTCTCACAATAAGTTATTTGCTGATATTGAAATTTTTTCCCTTGAAACTAAAAATAGCCCCCTGCTCTTGTTTTCATTGCTACTAACCTCTATTTGGGTCTTTTAGCGCTGGACAAGATCTCTGCAACTCCATTTAACGTCTACAGAGAATCTGCCATCCGGCTTGGAGAAAGCCATATACATCTTAAAGACACACAGGAAATGAGTCAGAACTTTGATTAGACATTTGGTTAAACTACTTAGGCTAATTGACTCATTTAAAAATTTTTTATTTTATCTTATTTTGAGACATAGCCTTGCCTTATAGCCCAGGCTGGCCCCGGTCTCATGCAGCCTGGTGTGTCTCCTGAGGGCTGGGATTGTAGGAATGCTCTTTGGTCTTTGAAGAATATTAATCATTTAATGTAACAGAAAGTGGCTTTAAAGCAGAAGGTCTTACCAGAAGCCTCGTGTTTTTATTAATGCAGAGAGCTCAACGTTCAGATTTGCTTTTGTCCTTAACAAAGAGATTCATTTCCAGATGACATTCCTGTTACCTGTCCATAAACAAAATCTATTTGTGTGTGGGGGGGAGATTGGGGATTGGGGTAGTGGAAGGGAATCTTCTCTGGCTGATGAAGCCATGTGTCTAGAGAATAGTGAAGCAGTGTTCATATATTTGCAGAGAGAGAGAGAGAGAGAGAGAGAGAGAGAGAGAGAGAGAGAGAGAGAGAGAGAGAAAGAGAGAACTCATTCAAGGGGACAGCGCTTTCCATTTTTCCTCATCCCAGGGGGCATGAGTTACAAACAGTTCATTTTGTGATTCCCAGTCAATCCTCAATTATATACACTGCGGTAGGTAGCAAAAGAAAACCAGCAGCTGGGCAAGGGGCATAAACACATAGTCCTAGAAGCAATAGGAAACGGAGGCAGGAGGACCACTGTGAATCCTTAGTTCCACCTGAGCAACAAACCAGTTAGGGCTATATAGTAACACCTTGTCTTAAAAAAATCAAATATCAAAATGAAACTATACAGACAAAAAAGAAAACACAACTCTGAAAACTCTGCAAATCTCCTTTTGGGCAGAATTTTCCTAAGCCGGGGTTGAGTGCAGGCTATAGATGGAGGAGGCCCTGGCCCCCATCCTCAGCATTGCATCTCTAAGAAAAAAGATGCGTTTGTATCACCAGGGATGCAATCCCAGGCTTTATGCATGCTAGGAAGTGCTCCTCTATGTAGCCACACCCCTGACTCTAAGACAAAGGAAACCCAATCTGCTCCCTTTCTCCATCACACCCTGCCCTAGCACTGCTAGCAACAAACAGACTTGAGTCTAACCTTGCTAACAACTTGTTCTTGTCTGCTGGTTGGTGGCAGTGTCAATACAGAGGGACTGGCCAGGAAGCATGGTTAGTTCATCACTTGCCCAGAACATTCAAAGCCCTGGGTTCTATCCCCAACAGTCCATAGACTGGATATGGTGGCACACACCTGTAACCCCAGCACTCAGAAGGTTCAGGTAGGAAGTCAGAAGTTCAAGGTCATCTTTGGCTACAAAGTGATTTTGAAGCCAAACTGTGACACATAAGATTCTTTCAAGAAAATAAAGTCAGCAACAATACAAAACAGAAAAAATAAAAAGCAAAACTAGACAGAGTTCCAAGGCTGGAGGTGGGAGGCGGGGAAGAAACCATATCAGCAGGCATCTTTGAGTATATGAGTATGTAAAGGGCTCTCTAGGATGCCTTCCAATTCCATAGGCATTTTGGGAGTACTTTTCTGTAAGATAACAACCAAGGGAGAGCCATGTCAATATAAGCCAAGCACAATAAACTTGCTACTGTGAGGCTTGTTTGCCAACCTTGGTCTGGCTAGATGGATTTTAATGTCTCAGCCTTCCAAGCAGACTTAGTTCCTAATGTATTAGATAAAATTCCCTAAAATTTACTGTTATTTAAAATTCAAACCATTTTTTTACATATTTTGAATATTCTAATACCAAAATGATCTCTACAAATACAAGTGTTATCTTCTGTCAGGGTGGTCTAGAGGTCTAAGGTGCCAGACTCAAGCTCAGCTTTCCACAACTGTTATCTTCCGTGGCCTATTTGAGCTATTAGGTATAATCTTTACAATGCAACAATTAGACATAGACAGCATAGGAAGGAAATAATAATATCGTTCCCATGGTGGAATCTCTCTCCTCAGTGGTGAAGGGGTAGTTCTTTCAATAAATGCTACTGGGAAAAGTAGTTCTTTATTTGGAACAAGTAAAATACTTTGTTATATAAAGAATAGACAATAAATTCTAAACCTGGTATGCTGGCACAGGCCAGAATCCCAGCACTTGGGAAACTAAGGCAAAAGGACAAAGAGGTAGAGGGGCAGTGTGGGCTATCCAATGAGATTGTATTTTAAAAATATAGACTAAGAGGCTAGAGAGATGGCTCAGTAGTTAAGAGTTCCTCCTGCCCTTCTAGAGGTTAAGTTTAATTCATGGCACCCACATGGCT